TTTTACAGTCTTTATTTTACAGTTAAAATAAATGTTTATCAAATAAAGTCTAATGTTACAACTAATCATGGATCCCTCTAAAAACTCTGTCCACTTCCTTCCAAAGAAATTGTTTGACAACAAAATATATATTTTTGTTGAAGCTTAAGTCCCCTAAAAAGTGTAACACGTTTTTTTTAAGTCTATTTACAGTTTCCTATCAGTTATTAACTATTTCAGCAGGCATTCAAAGTTTAATGGTGACAAGACAAAAAAAAAAAGACTAGACAGCCTTAAAAAAAGAAAAACTGTAAAACACAGCACAATTGTTGTTTTGGTTTCTAGGAAACAAAGTGATCATAAACGTGTCATCGGCTTTGAAATTCTTTGTTATTTTAAGTCCAATTGTAAACACCAAAAAAGTTTTTAGAAGTTTTTGTCTTTTTTTTTTAACCACAAATTCAGTTTTGCAAACTCAGCAGAAAACATACAGTGTAGTGTAGATTGGACTTCAGTGGTTCATACAGTTCAATATGTAGTTAAGTACAGATACATTTCTTAACCCCTTGAATCCTTTGTAAAATAAGCAGCGGAGGTAGCTCATTGAAGGTTTAATGCTCATAAACTGTAGACCATTTTAGATGTTTATAAAGTAAAAAAATACAGATTTATTTTCATCCAAAGGATGTTAATTATCCACCTAAATTCAAAAATTAATACATTTTAGATCTCGACCTTTTCATGGTACATGATTTATTTTATTTGGGATTAAATGTGACTAAAGATGCACATTTAAACCAGCCTGAAATCTAAATGTTGTCATAAATGTAGAAACAAGTTCCAGTAAGTCCTGGTTTCTGATATTCAGTGAAGTAAATCTTCAAACAAAGCAGAAAATCACTGATTATCACATCCTGGCCTTGAAGTAGAGATAACATGTTTGAGTCACAAGAGAGATAAAGAAGTACAGAACGTGGCTTGTTGTGCAGAGAGGCAGAGTTCAACAATGTGGAGTTGGTTTTGTTGTTTCATAATTTAAATACCATTAATGAAGGCAATACAGTTTGTTTAATAATTGTAACTAGCAGCTAATCATTATGAAAAATGTTCAGAATATCCTATTATGATATGTGTATTTATTGTGCTCACACAGTTGAGTTTGTCAACATCATTCAGTTTAAGGACACATTAACACATTGCTAAATGTACTGTAACTAAACGACAGGGTCATTTCTTCCACACTCGGCTCATTACGTCTCCTTCTTGCTCTGGAACAGGTTTAACAAGGACATTGAGTTTATGATTGGCCACAAACCCAACATCTTCTGGCAGGCGACATGGAGAGTGATCAGCCCGCTCATCATGATCTTCATCTTAATTTTCTACTTTGTAACACAAGTCACGAAGAACTTCACCTATCTGGTCTGGGACCAGGAGTCGGTAAGAGTTTCATTACCCTGAAATATTTAGGATTTTTGGTTCTGAAGAGATGTTTACTCCCAATTCCTTTTTCATTCAACGATGGTTAAAACTAAATTTGAGTCATAGCTGTGTTGATGTCAATTACGAGTGTGTTTTTCTCTTCTTACAGGAAATGTTTCCCACACTGGATGAGCGCTCGTACCCCCCCTGGATCTACGTTATTATCTTCATCCTGGCTGGAATTCCCAGTTTAACTATCCCCCTGTTTGCCCTCTTCAAGTTCCTAAAAAACACATGTTGCAAGAAAGACAAGTTCAGGAAGAATTCAGTGGACACGATCTCGGCCAAAATACAAATGAACGAAAAAATAAAGTACTAAACAGACTTAGTAAGATTATGCAATGCGACTGGACTTATTATAATTTAAGCTTTTTTGTTTGCTGTGCAATGATAAAAAAAAAGAACTCCAGTAGCCAATGGTTTTTTACCTTTGAAAGGCAGAAGTCAGTTTGGGGTGTTTTATGTGAACATTTCTGAAAGACAGAACAATCAAACACCTATGGTATCGTGACAACAATTTATCTGTTATAGTTCGCTCCTTTAATGGCCTCAGTTTGGACAAATATAATTTTGACTGGACTGACAAGCTAGAGCGAGAGTTAACAACATATAAAGTGGATTATGGCTGTCATATAACTACAGTCTAAAAGATTTCATGGCATTTGTGCAAACTCTCACAAATTTATAGACAACCACCTGTTTTGACTTACATGGCCATTTATGTAGGTTTCTATGGGTATTTGTTGGCACGAATAGTAAAAGCAGCAGCTAGTTGGAGCACCTCTGGTGCAGCCGAGGCTGGAATATTACCATTTTTGTGCTAGAATAACCAAACAGACAGCAGTGTAAAGATGAAATAATAAAGTTTTTGACAGTGTTAGACAGTATAAGTATTCTTTTATTTATCTGACATTAAACTATTACAACACTGCCTGCTAATGTGAAATATAGAGTTGAAAAAACAGACAAAATAAAATAAAATAAAAAAAATAAAATTCATATGAAGAAGAGCAAGCCCAATTAAGATGTGCTTGTTTTTATCATTCTTTTTGAGTAAATTATGAACTAATCACACCATTGTGCTTTATTTTATTAGTTTTATTATAACCTGAATAACAGACTTTCTCAGTTTATGCAACTTTAGTTTGCAGCTCATGTGGTTCAGAGAAAATGGTCTATATACTTTATATTATTATACAAATTAATAGATGTGTATTTTTTTTACCCATGTGTTTGTGAGACTCGTTTCCTATAGAAAGTCACATAGTGACCTTAGCAAAGTGACGTTATCACAATAAAAACAAATATTTTGTGCTGCTGTCTTTTTTATGAGATCCTGTTTCAACACATTTTACACTTCAGTGCAGTGACACTAAAATATTTTCAAGAGGTCAATTACCTCCCAGACTCACCAATAACCTTCTCTTTACACATTTAAAAATGATGAAGGACTCTTTGCTCATCTCATATTGACCGTTTTGTAGTTAGTGCATGGATAAAATCAGACACAAATACATTTAGAGCTGCTTCCAGTCTTCAAGGTCAACATTCAGCTAGCATTCCGGTCCTTTAAGCCCGATTTATTGTTGTATTTTATATACAAACATGTTTATAAATGAGTTTTACTGGTATTTTATGTTGTGATATTGAAATATCTTCAATGCACAAAATTGCCATGTGACATAATGACAATAGAGCTGAAACAGGTAGACATGAACTTTGTTTAGACCAAGTATATTTCAGCAAACTGGAAGTAGGCACCACAATGCATTGCAAAATACGGTCTTCAAGCATAAACATAGCTATCAAAAAGGTCAGTTACATTACTGGAGTTCAGAGGACAATGGTGCACTCCATTTATACATACTAACTGAATCATCCCAAAAGTTGGAGAGTCAATGGTTGCTGACCAACCCTGATCTGAAAATCCAATGTGGCTTCTTTTCTCATAAACAGTGTTGATAAATGCAGCAATAAACATTATTTTTTTCCACATCTGTCTGCTTGCATATCTCCAAATCTGGCGCACACATATCACTGCACTACATCTATTAAGGAACATGTTGCTTCAGTGTTTGACTTATTAACATATTGTAATAAATAAACACAGGACCTAAAGCGAAAGTTGAAAGCCAAACTGTTTGAGCGCCCCCTGTAGGCTGACTGCAGTAAAGCATAAGAGCAAAAAGTATGGCATGATTGACCTCTACAGATTTATGTAGTTCCTACTTTGCTGCTGTATGTTCAAATATTATTTTTTCTAATACCTTCATTTATAATTAGTTTACAATAATGACATGGTTGTGTGGGTTAGGGTGGGATTTTTAACCCCCCACCACAGTACACACACTCCGGCACAAAAAATACAACATAGCAGTGTCAGTAAATCAATATTATATGTAGCTTCAATGTGAAACAATAAAAAGTATGCAGAGATGTTTTGTTTAAATGCATAAAATGTAACAGGCTATTGTTACTACTGCAGATGCATGATTCTTGAAATAATCTTAAACTACTACTACTTTATCTATAAAGTGCTTTAAAACAACCACAGCTGCAACAACATACTGAACATATACAACCAAATGGCTGACTTTGAGGTAAAGAGCGTTCCAGTAATCAGGACAAAATGTCAGTGATTTTTCTGAAAGAAACTGTTTTACATTTGCCAACTGCCTGAGATGGTATAAAATTGGCCGATCCAACCTGGAAAACTGATCTAAAATCACTGTATTTAAAACACAAATTAAAACCCACCTGCTTTAGATGCAGCCTGCATGTAAAGCAGGTGGGTTGTAATTTGTGTCCTGCATGATGCAGGACCAGGGGTCCCAGATCAACAGGGGAAGGTTCACAGCCATTTGGACCAAACAATATCATTTTTGTTTTTATTAAAATGTAAAAACTTTAAGGACAGCCAGTCTTTTGCATCTTCAAGACACAACGGAAGTGGCCTAATTGAGAAGTCATATTTCTTTATCAGTTGCATAAGCACTTTTCTGGACTGAGATGGCAGGTGTCTCTCTAGGTACAGTATTTGTTAGAGTCAGTTCTCCAGTGTGGGTGGGCACTGCCCTGAGTGCTCCGATGACCACGGGCACTAGTTGTCTTCCCCTATCAGGCTTCTTCTGGCTCTTTCACCAGAGCCCTTGGCATTTCTCCAGTTACTCGTGTTCCTTTTTCCTGATGTTTCCATCATTGGGGATGGCCACATCAATCACAGCAGCTGTCCTCTGCTGCTTATCGATGATCACAATGTCCGGTTGCTTGGCCATTACCATCTTGTCTGTCTGAATCTGGAAGTCTCACAGGATCTTTGTTTGGTCATTCTCCACCACCTTGGGAGGTGATTCCTACTTCGACCTACCAGTTTGTACTCCACACAGACGTTTCTGTACACTATACCAGCCATTTGTTTTTGGTGTTCCATGTAGTCCTTTCCTGGTAGTATCTTACACTGCCATGAGATGCTGGATTGTTTCTGGTGTTTCTTGGACCAGCCAGTACTTGGGATCTTGTCTGGTATGGTAGATCTGGGCCACAATCGGTCTTGTGCTTAAGGCTTGCTCCTGTGCTTCCACAGTCATTTGTTGGTGATACATTCTATTCAGAGATTTTTTCCTCTCATGGTAAATACACAGTATATATATA